AGGTTTTAAACTAATCAAGTTCTTCTCAGATTTGAGATTCTATATTTCTCTAATATTTTGAATGCATAACACAGCAGCGGCGCATCTCGTGGGCTAGACTAACAAGACATTAAAATGCAACAACGTCACTCTCAATTCAGCATGTGTTCGTGTTTGTGTGTGCTGTCTGCGTCACTCATAGCACGTGCCTATATTGCGCACTATATCAAACATTTTTTATATCGTTATCGAAGAAGGTGTACCGTCGATAAATATAGATACCGTTTTATCGCCCAGGCCTACATGATCTTTCAAAAATCATTCTAATCAGATGATTTGCTGATCAAGAAACATTTCCTATTATTATCAGTGTTGAAAACAATGTTGTGCTTCTTAATATTTTTGTGGAAGTTGTTACTTTTTACTCTTTTTAGGAATTTTGATGAACAGTTCAAAGAATGCATTTTTTAAATGTAATGTTAGTTTGTAACATTGCAAATGTCTTTACTGTCACTTTTGATCAATTTAATGTGGCATTTCTGAACAAAATAATTCATTTCTTAAAAAAAAAAAAATTAAATTAAATTAAGTGACCACAATCCTTGAATGGTAGCATTTTTGTGTGTGTGTATATATATAACATTATCCTGTTCTATACCTTTCTTTGGTCTTTAATGTTCTTTAAGTGAACTTACAAATCTGTACATTTGTCCAGTAGAAGTTCCGTTTTAAAAGTACCAAAGTAATATAGTACAATTTAATTATAGCACACGATGTGCACAAAATTGTTCCTATTTGAAAACACAAAATATGTATCATCCATTGATCTATCAGTAGATTTTGGAATAAAGCAAGGAAGAACTAACACTTCTGTTAATTTACAAAGAAGACAAAATACTTAAATATTGAGCAATTCATCTCCCTGGTATTATATATAGGCTAAAATCTATTGCAAATTAAAATGCACAGTGCACCTGAAATTCTTCACTGATGTCTTTTTATGATTATGACAGAAAGGTCTCGATATGCTTCTGTTTATTTTAAATGTTGTCAGTGTGATTCTGAACTCTCATAATGTATTTATTCATTTTAATTTTAATCTTTCTTGCCCCTCTCAGGCATTTTAGAGACAAAGAGGCTGGACATTGTCCACACACGAGGTCCCATCCCACAGTCTCTCGGTGGAGTTACCTACTATGCAGCCGATCTACCCATATGGTGGCAAGTGCCTCAGTACATCCTCATTGGTGTCAGCGAAATCTTTGCTAGTATTGCAGGTAGGTGGTCCTTTGCAAAACACTGCTGAACACACACACAAAACTCTCAATTTCACAAACAGAGCTTATGAAGTGACCTATGTTCTGAATTTTTGTAGCTTTTTTGTAATTAATACGTTTGTAAGGTTTCTTGCATCAGAAATATCGCACTAAATTTATTGAATGAAATGTTTGCTTCTGTACCTTTTAGACTGCTATATGTGAATGACCACTGTTATGATTAACTAGCCTCTTCACATTTGATCCCGAAGTCTGAATACGATTAGGTGTTGATATGTAAACATGGACAGTCAAACCTTAATGTGCTTTTGCAGTAGCATGTCAACATAATTCACTGCTGTATTAAAATTGATGTTCTCCAGGAAATGGAGTGGTTTCTGAGGTGATACTGAGCCTGGAAAGACATTTGAGAGGAGATGATCATGATAAGAAACACCTACAGCACATTTGTGCTGATATTTTGATTGTAGAATTTAGTTTCACATCAACTAAGATGCATGGAATGAATAACTCGTCTAGATGAGTAAACATACAGCATTGTCTTAAAATGAGTGTGTCTTTTGTGTCCCTCCAGTTCTCGGTCTCCTCTGTGTACTGTAGAGTTTTTTCCATAGGATCATTCATCTGTCCTAATGACCATGCTAATCAATGCGTGTCCTTTTAAAAACTGCAGTAAACTCCTCTCTGCCTTGCCTTTGTGTAGTAGCTCTTGTCTGAGCCGTTGCTGAAATTGCTTGCTAAGGAATCCATGGCTGTATCAATCAGGACCGATCGATCTGGGCTTGGCGATACATTATTGCAGTTAAGATGGCCAGGGAAAACATCTCGGTCCTGCTGGAATACACTAAGAAAATATCTAGAAAGTCTCAAGCAAGTGGGTTTGAGATTAATGAGAAAATAGATGAAAGGAAACTAAATCCCCTAACACAGCGTTTGTAAGAAAAATTGTGTGGACCTCCTATTGCTACCTTCACTGCTGAGATCTACAGTAATTACAGCAATTTCTGTCATGATGAGAATCTTAAATTTCATTCTGATTCCACTTAATACATCTAGTTTCTGGTATTTTTGATAAATGGCCACATAAGTGCTAATAGCTTTATTATTATATATAGTTCATTAGTCTTGCTTCACTCTTTTTCAGTGAGTGAGTCAGATGTTCATTCTGTAAGATTCAGTGAGTGGCTGAGTGATCTGTTTAAGGCTGATGAGTTTAAGATTCATCAGTTCAGAAGAGTCCTCAGTTAGCGAACCAAGCTACACTGGTCGCACTGAATGTTTGCCGCTGTTAAAATGATTTGATTCCAGTGTTTTTTTAATTAAACAGATTCTGAGTAAGGTTATCGAATCCCAGCTCCGTTTCCTTATGCTGGTCATTTTCTAGAGGTTTACAGGTTGCAGTTATGCATGGCACTTGTCTTATTTGTGTTTGCTGTATCAGCTCTATATTTACCGCTGGTTATGTGCTAAACACACAGTCCCTAAACACACAGCTGTGTTCATTTCGACCCTTCAGCTTCTCTTCCAAGGTCAGGTTCGAATATGCTTGTTTTCCTCTTAGACACACACCACACCGGTAATTTCACACCCATTTCACGCACAGAGTAAATCAAAGGCTGCTCGTCCCCCCCTTAGCCTTTATGAACCAACAAGACTAATAAGTAGCATTTGGCAAAGGCAGGGAAGAACACTCTCCCTTCATGCTGAATTGTAGAGAACACTTTACTGATTACTGGATTTCTTCTCTACCCCCTTAGAAGAGGTGTTTCAAATCAGATCGTCAGCCATGGCTTATGCTGCTTCAAATAACGGGATGTTTTTTTAGTCTGGATGATCTTGCAAGGACTTTCAATGTCTTTGATAGACAACTATGAGAGAGGAGGTTATCTGTAAGGCTACACTCACCACAATATTTTTCAGTCCTGTTTTTTATGATCTGTTAATTTGTTAATTTAGTCTTTTAAATATCAGATAATTTAACCTTTTTATGACTAGATAAGGTTAATTCCTATTGTATAATGTCATGTTGTGCAACTCCCCAAAACAGATATTTCTGAATTAATAATACATTTTTGTTAATTCAGAAATCAATGAATAATTCATAGACATAGTATTTGTCAGGGCTTAAAGTTCTCCGTCACCGTGCTGGATCTCCGGCGTGCAGTGTTTGGCTGCGGAAAAAAATAATCCTACATTTAAAAAAAACTTGTTGATATCACTTTCGAGTCCATGAGTTCGCCTACCAATGGTATGAGAGGAGCACAGCTTTCACTCTCAACCAAACTAACATTGCTAGCCAATCAGAATGTTTTGCTCTTATTATAGACGAGAAGCGCATAATATCCAACTGCAGAGTCGCAGCCCTGATGAATGGAGAAGCGCGACACGTTGAAAAAGCTGTGAGGCGCAATGGTCAAAGATGTCCATCTAGCGCATTTACATAGAAAAACTAGTTAAAAAGCAGCGGAGCTTTGTAAACAGCTCAGAGTAATCATGTCATCTCCATAAGAACGATATGATTGCCAGAACAAATTTACCGGGATTTTTGAAAAGGTCCTGTTCACACACATGATCTCTTAATGGTAACTTACCGGTAATTTACC